ATTTTAAGACAAGCACACAGGCCTACATAATTAGCAAGTTTGGTAGGTACCTATTTGGTATGTACAAAATTCGCTAAAAAAACATTATACAAAAGTCCATCACGTAAATTTTCCGAGAAAGCATCAAATGGCAGAAAATGGGGCATTTTTGCCTAACAAGAGTGTGACATATTAAGAGAGGAACACAAAATTTTGTCACCGTTTGCTCTTATTTTAAAATCGAACACGAAAAGAAAATGGCAATCAAAATGCGAAATTTTTTGATAGAAACGAAAACACCATTCGATTCGTCCGAAACTACATAGACATTCTTATTTTCATTTCACGATAAACTTTTTATAAATTTATCAATATTTGATCAAATATTTACCAACATCTTCAGGGTCCCATTTATGGTTGGGTACAAGCACATCGTCTGCACCATCAAAAATTTCGCCACGAAGATGATCCCTTTTACAGCGCACACAATTTCTTGGCCGCCCAAGTACACGCTCAAATCATGAGCTACACACCAGAGCAACAACAGTTGCTGAACGATGTTGACATGTCGGACATCAAGCAGGATAAAGTCGTCATGTTTCAAAAGAAGTAAGGTTATATTTAGCAACACACATGCATACATATATGTAGTATATGTATACATATTGCCGGTATGCACACATTCTTAAATTTGTATATCGCTTCTATCTCTGATTCCTTTCCAGGTATTATTGGATACTATACTTTTTCCTGCATGTTTTACTGCCAGTCAATGCCCCACTAGAGTATTGGGGTGACTCCATGGCTGCAGCCACATTTGTAACTTTTTCGCTGCGATACCTCATAGTACTGAATGTTTGTTGGCTCATCAACTCGGCCCATTTCATTTGGGGCTTAGACAAAAACTTTAAACCGTCCGATTCGAATAGTGTATTCTTTATTACAAAAAGCTACTGGCCTCAATATCATTACCTTTTGCCCAACGACTATCAGAGCGGTGAATTCGGTGATTATGGAACGGATTTTACCACTGCAATGATTCGGGTATTTGCAGCACTGGATATGGCAACTGATTTACGCACAATCAGCTCTGTGGCAGTGCGTAAGGGACTCACCACCGCAGTAGAAACTGGTCGCCCCATTGTGGAGTGTATCCAAGAGCAGGCAACAGAGGAGATAAATGCAATGCCAAAGAATCACTATCTAAACCGGGATCGATTTATGTAGAAGATAAATATTTATCTATATACGATAGACGCTTAACGTTAATTCTAGATTGAATTGTACTCACATATCTAGCATTAATATTTCACAATACACCCGATAAAGTGCATCTCAGGCATTTCCAAAAACAAAAAAAACATTCCTTCTGGATTTTCATTTAAAAAATTCGTTCGAACAGGTGTCATCCAGGGTTTTAAGCAGAGACTAATTGGCCTGAAGTTTCTGAAGCTGTGAGAGATGTGAGAACTTTTGATGGCTTTCGGTATAAACGCCATCGTGACCACTCTTGGAGAGTGGAGCCAGACAACGATACGACACCACTAAAATCTTGAGCAATTCGGCAGCGTCTGTGATCGCTGATTCGAAGGGCCCGAAATAGTGTATTTCCCAAACAAGAAAATGCTTGCCTGAAAATTGGCATCAAGGAGAAGATCAAGGGAATTTTTGCGGGTCATTGTACAATTTCCTGCCTAATCTCTCAATTACCCCAAGAAGGCAGCATTCCTCGCAAGCAGGGTTTTAGTAAAATTATTTGGCTGCTCACACTTATCTGGTTTCGGGTTTTCGAAAGTTGAAATTTTTTTATTCAGCTTACCACAGTAAAGCTAAATAGAGAATAATAGTTTGTAAACATGTAGCCTACCAAATAAGCACAAGGTGTGAAGACGCACTAAGTTCCTAAGTCTTTTTTACAACTATGTACGTTCATACGTATAGGCAGGCTGTATCTGATCGACATATTTTTAGTGTTTTCAGCTATTTCGAGAGTTATCCGTTGCGAATGCTCGCTTTATCTTATAACTTGCTTACAAACACACACACACACACCTGAATACGCATACATACATATGTACATAAATACATACTCCAAAGCGGAAGAAGTCAAGGCTAAAAGCACGAACATCAAATAAAGGTATAGCCGATATTTATTTACGAAAATTTTATACAGCATTGTTTACAAGAGTGGACTTCTCACCACCTTACTAAAACAAATGACTAAAAATTTAAAACAAACGTGATTATGTACATACATATGTATGTACGTACATACATACAAGCGACAAATCCAAAGAAAGCAGCGATAAGTCTGGCAGAGAGGAGTAGCGGACAATGTATGCAAGAATATGAGGTACATTTTGTATATACAGATGTGTGTCCATTTACATATACATATGTATGTATGTATAAAACTAGCAGCATACCATCGAAAATTATTCCCAACCGAGATCACCTCGGGGGCTACTCGGTAAGTAATGCGATGCGAAAGGCAAATACGTCGTCTGTTATATGCTGTGGCGATTGCCTATCGCATCGCATTTCTCTTTCGCATCGCTCTCAAACTCTAATAGGATCTGCCAAAAACAAGTATTAATAAAAAAAAGAATATTTTATAAATTGTAAGTAAAAAAGCCGACTCCCATACCAACTAAATAATGGCTAGTTTTTTTGTGTAAGTATTCCTTTCCATTCAAGTAATATATGTACTAAAAATGAGTTAAATCGGACCATAAATAAGGATTTTCCAAATATTTCGTCTCCGGCGCCACCTGTTGGGAATGATTTTTGTGGAGTTATTTCTTCATGTAGGTAATATACATTCCAAATACGGACGATATCGAACCATAAATACAGGGTTTTCAAATATCTCGACACCTGGGCTACCAAGCGGATTAATTCATCTTTAGTATTCTGAGCAAAGTTTGAAGTTTCAAGTGTCTAGCTCTCCGGAAAATATTTGAACGGCATGACACATTTTATATTGGCTGCATTTCTTTATTCATTCTGAACGTTTGGAATAAACTTTTTTGTTTATTTATTCTTTAAAACGTTCGTGATGATATGCTGACGTATATTTCAAACGCATTCTGTTTATTCCGGCTGTGAAATGGGATTGTCCGGAATGTATAAAGAAACGCAGCCATTAATGCCTATAAGGGCCGGTTGTTCAATGTCTGGTTATCACTACTTGCCGGTTAAACATCATTATCGACGATTTCGACATCATGCATATAACATGTGATCGATAAAGCAGTCGTTGTATCTAACCGGAGCTTCACCTCCGATTTGTGCTAATCAGACATTGAACAACCGGCCCTAAATCTAGTTCCGCTTTGAATGAACCAATTACTCGGGCTTTGATTGAATTTAATAACCTAGTAATATACAAAATTACTCTCTTTGGTTTTTTCCTCGGCCGATTCGGCTTTGGAAATGCATTACTTTCTTATTTTAAATAAACTATATATATATGTTCTAAAGTTTCTTTCCGGAACCAGTTTCGAAGCACAAAGGTCTGTACTGTTCACAAATGGATCAACATTTATTTAATATAAAAGTGTTCCTGGGGATCACTCCATACGAGAGGATTGGTGTAACTGCTATAAGTCCGGGGATTGAGGCCCCATTTCTCGACTCTGGCCCTTTTTATAAGCATAGAGGGCTGCAAAATCATAACGCTGAACGATATTATCCTTCCTGTTCAGCTTCTTATATAGAATAATGCCTAGGAATTTGGTCTTTGCAGCACAACTTACCCGCACGCATTTATACCTTCTCGTAAAGAAGACCAGCTCCACCTAGCTTAAGTTGACGCTTCAGCTACAGAGAATGGACCAACTGGATATATCCCGAAGTGTTTGCTGCATCAGTTCGCGTAGCGTTTGCGGATATTTTGCCCCGAAAGCGATTGTAATGTCTTCGGTGTATGCACCGACTTGTAGAGAAAGAAAACCTCGCTGAGACGTACCCCTCGTCACAAGTGTCCACATTTCTCTCCGTCCCAGCCTCACCTTTACCATTTTGCAGGAGAGTAGCTGACGGATGAACTCTACCAGTGGGTTATCCACCCCTAGATCCCTCGGTGCGTCAGTAATAGCCTCTGAAAGTATGTTGTTGAACGCGCGCCTACAAAATCCAAGATAGCTACAAGACAGAAGTCCTTAACGCTGAGGGACTTCTCGATATAAGTGGCCTAGATTAGCCTTTTCGGTACGCATGTTGGTCGTCAGACAATAGGCGACAGTCAAGAGTGTCAGAAAGGAAGCTACTAACAGTCCTTTCAAGTGTCTTAATGCCAAAGGTATATGATTACATTTGAAAGAGGCCTTGAAAATACTTCAAAACCCTTCCACAGACACTTCCTGTGGCTTAATTTGTTGTGCGGGCATTATCCCGTCCGGTCCTTTTTTAAAGCTTTGGATTGCCAATTTAACCTCTCGTCCGAGATGGGTATGTTCGCGGTATAGGGAAAGTGTGTATTCAGGAGCAGCTCAATGGTTTCCTTTTACGTGGAGGCCCAGGATCCATCCTGCTTTAGTAAAAAACCTTTCGGAATAAGAGACCTAGAGAGAATCTTCCGTAGCCTGGCAGTTTCGGAAACACCTTCGATGCCACCACACTAAATTCTTAACGGAGATCTCTTTGCCCCTCCCAAGTATTTTGTGTAGACACAGAGTAATCGCTTGTACTCCTGCCATTCAAGCCCAAGTGCAATAGGACTCATATTGAGGTTAATTTGATGATTTGATTTAAGCTTATATGAGTCGACTTTCGGAGGAAGGGAAGTACTTACATTTCATGTTCTTAAATGACCTTATTATGAGGTTAAAACGTAACAACTAGGACTCCAAAGTGACTGATCTGTGATTCCAAATGTTTGTTAAATGTATGTATCTACATAAATATGGCAATGTAAGTAAAAAAACGGTGCGACCATACTTCTCAGCAGATGCCAACTTAATGGATGCATCATTTTGAAGAGCTTAATTCCCGAGTTATTCCATATGCCGCAATACCAACCCGACACTTTAAGAAATAAGGCTGTTTGATTGTTTAGCACTTGTGCTGTCTGTCCACAATCGAACCGTCAATGCATGCTTTTTTATTCAATATTTTTCTTAACTCTCAGACGGAGCTAATCAAATATAACACACATGTTCGCTTTATACCTATGTACATAAGTATGTAAATATTTGTTTAATTTTACGCAAAGTTATTTGAAATTATCACAAACTCAATATATGTATTTGCAGAGCTTAATGAATGTACCAATATTTGGTTTTACTGGTCAGTTGCGCATCTTCATCAAATTAGTGAAGTTTTTAGGGGACATTTCCCATGCGTTTGAGCATATAACCGGCCCTTATTTAGTAATATATATATTAACCGGATATACGAAATAACAAAATGAAAGGTTATTAACCGGATATCCGTTTTGTTGAATCTAAAAGTTAACAATAATGTATTTATTTTGCGGCTCGATATACATACTTATTCAATATATTTTTTTTTTTTTATCCGTATACATGAATATCTGAAGTGAAATCCGGATATCTGAATATAGAGGCAGCACTTCACTCTTACCTAGACCTCGGAAGAGGAGGAGGGGAGGAGTGGGGTAGGGGAATGTTGTAGTGTCAGGTATGTATTCCACCGGTCCCGGAAGAATATCCTTTCTTTCCATGACCTTGGATTTTGCTTCATATTTTGTACTAACCAAGGCAGCTGAAATGTCAAGGAACGCGTAAAGGGCTATCTGCTTATACTACATCGCCTTTTTAATTACATACCTGAGGGGCTACTCTATAATGCAATGCGATAGGCAACTGTACAGCGTATTACTTCCGATTGTACAGCGTATTACTTCCGATATATTTGCTTATCGCATCGCATTCCTCCTTCGTATCGCATCACAGGCTCATGCATCAATTCTTATGCAGATTATGCGAAATATAACTGTCAAAAATCCTCATGCCTATACAAATTGTATGAAGCATCCGAAAATAACGCGGCGATAGCGCCGAGCAAACGGTATTTTAATTTTTGACAAGGCGTTACGTTTTGAAGTTGAATGCAGTAGACAGAAAAAAAGGAGACGTGAAGAAAAATCATGGGAAATGAGAAAATGTCAGCGCTCCAATTTAGGAACGGCCGTAAGCATCGTGTGATTTGCTGTTATCAGGAAAGCTAATAAGAACTGAATCGCTTATGTATAATTTTTCATAAGAGCTAACAAATTCTGACTTAAGTCGACGAAATTAAATGGAGAAACAAATCGCAAACCTCACTCTTGGCAGCTATAATTTCGATGAATAGATAATTTCGTTCGTTTA